CCCTCCTAGGGAAAAAGTTTTTCCTAATATCCAATCTAAATCTCCCTCACTGCCACTTGAGACCATTACTCCTTGTTCTGTCATCTGCTACCACTGAGAACAGTCTAGATCCATCCTCTTTGGAACCCCCTTTCAGGTAGTTGAAAGCAGCTATCAAATCCCCCCTCATTCTTCTCTTCCACAGACTAAACATCCCCAGTTCCCTCAGCCTCTCCTCATAAGTCATGTGTTCCAGTCCCCAATCATTTTTGTTGCCCTCCTCTGGACATTTTCCGATTTTTCCACATCCTTCTTGTAGTGTGGGGCGCAAAACTGAACACAGTACTCCAGATGAGGCCTCACCAGTGTCGAATAGAGGGGAACGATTATGTCCTTCGATCTGCTGGCAATGCCCCTACTTATACATCCCAAAATGCCATTGGCCTTCTTGGCTACAAGAGCACACTGTTGACTCATATCCAGCTTCTCGTCCACTGTAACCCCGAGGTCCTTTTCTGCAGAACTGCAGCCGAGCCATTCGGTCCCTACTCTGTAGCGGTGCATTGGATTCTTCCTTCCTAAGTGCAGGACTCTGCACTTGTCCTTGTTGAACCTCCTCAGATTTCTTTTGGCCCAATCCTCTAATTTGTCTAGGGCCCTCTGTATCCTATCCCTACTCTCTAGCGTATCTACCACTCCTCCCAGTTTAGTGTCATCTGCAAACTTGCTGAGGGTGCAATCCACACCATCCTCCAGATCATTTATGAAGATATTGAACAAAACCGGCCCCAGGACTGACCCCTGGGGCACTCCACTTGATACCGGCTGCCAACTAGACATGGAGCCATTGATCACTACCGTTTGAGCCCGACAATCTAGCCAGCTTTCTATCCACCTTTTAGTCCATTCATCCAGCCCATACTTCTTTAACTTGCTGGCAAGAATACAGTGGGAGACCATGTCAAAAGCTTTGCTAAAGTCAAGGAAGAACACGTCCACTGCTTTCCCTTCATCCACAGAACCAGTTATCTCGTCGTAGAAGGCAATTAGATTAGTCAGGCATGACTTGCCCTTGGTGAATCCATGCTGACTGTTCCTGATCACTTTCCTCTCCTCTAAGTGCTTCAGAATTGATTCCTTGAGGACCTGCTCCATGATTTTTCCAGGGACTGAGGTGAGGCTGACTGGCATGTAGTTCCCAGGATCCTCCTTCTTCCCTTTTTTAAAGATGGGCACTACATTAGCCTTTTTCCAGTCATCTGAGACTTCCCCCGATCGCCATGAGTTTTCAAAGATAATGGCCAATGGCTCTGCAATCACAGCCGCCAACTCCTTTAGCACTCTTGGATGCAACGCATCCGGCCCCATGGGCTTGTGCACGTCCAGCTTTTCTAAATAGTCCCGAACCACTTCTTTCTCTACAGAAGGCTGGTCACCTCCTCCCCATGCTGTGCTGCCCAGTGCAGTAGTCTGGGAGCTGACCTTGTTCGTGAAGACAGAGGCAAAAAAAGCATTGAGTACATTAGCTTTTTCCACATCCTCTGTCACGAGGTTGCCTCCCTCATTCAGTAAGGGGCCCACACTTTCCTTGACTTTCTTCTTGTTGCTAACATACCTGAAGAAACCCTTCTTGTTACTCTTAACATCTCTTGCTAGCTGCAACTCCAGGTGTGATTTGGCCTTCCTGATTTCACTCCTGCGTGCCCGTACAATATTTTTAATAACTATAATAAAGAACAATATTGTCAGACATATAGATGAACACAATTTGTTGAGGAAGAGTCAACATGGTTTTAGTAAAGGGCAATCATGCCTCACCAATATACTAGAATTCTTTGAGGGGGTCAACAAGCATGTGGACCAAGGGGATCCAGTGGATATAGTGTACTTAGATTTTCAGAAAGAAAAGGAGTACTTGTGGCACCTTAGAGACTAACCAATTTAGTTAGTCTCTAAGGTGCCACAAGTACTCCTTTTCTTTTTGCAAATACAGACTAACACAGCTGTTACTCTGAAACCTTAGATTTTCAGAAAGCCTTTGACAAGGTCCCTCACCAAAGGCTCTTATGCAAAGTAAGCTGCGACAGGATAAGAGGGAAGGTGCTCTCATGGATTGGTAACTGGTTAAAATATAGGCTAGGGTAGGTATAAATGGTCAGTTTTCAGAATGGAAAGAGTAAATAGTGGTGTCCCCCAGGGGTCTGTTCTGGGACCAGTCCTATTCAACATATTCATAAATGATCTGGAAAAACGGGTAAACAGCGAGGTCGCAAAATTTGCAGATGATACAAAATTACTAAAGATAGTTAAGACCCAGGCAGACTGCGAAGAGCTACAAAAGAATCCCTCAAAACTGGGTGACTGGGCAACAAAATGGCAGATGAAATTTAAATGTTGATAAATACAAAGTAATGCACATTGGAAAGCATAATCCCAACTATACATATACAATGATGGGGTCTAAATTAGCTGTTATCACTCAAGAAAGAGATCTTGGGGTGATTGTGGATAGTTCTCTGAAAACATCCACTCAATGTGCAGTGGCAGTCAAAAAAGCAAACAGAATGCTGGGAATAATTCAGAAGGGGATAGAAAATAGGATAGAAAATATCATGCTGCCTCTATATAAATCCATGGTATGCCCCACATCTTGAATACTGTGTGCAAATGTGGTCTCCCCATCTCAAAAAAGATATATTGGAATTGGAAAAGGTTCAGAAAAGTGCAACAAAAATTATTAGGGGTATGGAACGGCTTCCGTATGAGGAGAGATTAATAAGACTGGGACTTTTCAGCTTGGAAAAGGGATCATAGAATCATAGAATCATAGAATATAAGGGTTGGAAGGGACCCCAGAAGGTCATCTAGTCCAACCCCCTGCTCGAAGCAGGACCAATTCCCAGTTAAATCATCCCAGCCAGGGCTTTGTCAAGCCTGACCTTAAAAACCTCTAAGGAAGGAGATTCTACCACCTCCCTAGGTAACGCATTCCAGTGTTTCACCACCCTCACAGTGAAAAAGTTTTTCCTAATATCCAATCTAAACCTCCCCCACTGCAGCTTGAGACCATTACTCCTCGTTCTGTCATCTGATACCATTGAGAACAGTCTAGAGCCATCCTCTTTGGAACCCCCTTTCAGGTAGTTGAAAGCAGCTATCAAATCCCCCTCATTCTTCTCTTCTGCAGGCTAAACAATCCCAGCTCCCTCAGCCTCTCCTCATAACTCATGTGTTCCAGACCCCTAATCATTTTTGTTGCCCTTCGCTGGACTCTCTCCAATTTATCCACATCCTTCTTGAAGTGTGGGGCCCAAAACTGGACACAGTACTCCAGATGAGGCCTCACCAATGTCGAATAGAGGGGAACGATCACGTCCCTCGATCTGCTCGCTATGCCCCTACTTATACATCCCAAAATGCCATTGGCCTTCTTGGCAACAAGGGCACACTGCTGACTCATATCCAGCTTCTCGTCCACTGTCACCCCTAGGTCCTTTTCCGCAGAACTGCTGCCTAGCCATTCGGTCCCTAGTCTGTAGCTGTGCATTGGGTTCTTCCGTCCTAAGTGCAGGACCCTGCACTTATCCTTATGGATGGCTTAGGGGAGATATGATTGAGGTCTATAAAATCATGACTGGTGTAGAGAAAGTAGATAAGAAAGTGTTCATAGAATCATAGAATATTAGGGTTGGAAGAGACCTCAAAGGGTAATCTAGTCCAATCCCCTGCTCAAAGCAGGACCAACACCAACTAAATCATCCCAGCCAGGGCTTTGTTTACTACTTCTCATAACAGAAGAACTAGGGGGTCACCAAATGAAATTAATAGGCTGCAGGTTTAAAACAAGTAAAAGGAAGTATTTCTTCACACAATGCAGAGTCAACCTGTGGAACTCCTTGCCAGAGGATGTTGTGAAGGCCAAGACCATAACAGGGTTCAAAAAAGAACTAGCTAAATTCGTGGAGAATAGATCCATCAGTAGCTATTAGCCAGGATGGGCAGGAATTGTGTTCCTAGCCTCTATTTCCTAGAAGCTGAGAATGAGCAACAGAGGATGGATCACTTGATGATTACCTGTTCTGTTTATTCCCTCGGGGGCACCTGGCACTGGCCACTGTCCAAAGACAGGACACTGGGCTAGATGGACCTTTGGGCGAGTGTGTAACAAATGGGGGGAAGTGTTCTCGTCTTCTTCTCTCTCAGGCAGGTGTGCTGCAAATGGAGGAGCACCTCTTTCTTCCACACTCACAGAATCACAGACCATCTGGGCTGGAAGGGACCTCAGGAGGTCATCTAGTCCCACCCCCTGCTCAAAGCAGGACCAATCCCCAATTTTTGCCCCAGATCCCTAAATGGTCCCCCTCAAGGATTGAACTCACAACCCTGGGTTTAGCAGGCCAATGCTCACGCCACTGAGCTATTCCTCCCGCCCACGTGTGCAAGGGGTGGGACCTTCTTCTCTCTTAGGTACCAGTGCAAACAAGGGGACTCTGTACCCCAATCTGAGCATCCAAATAAATATAGCGAGGAGTCTTCCCTTTCACCCCAGCTGTACATGCAAAAGGGGGAGCTCCCTTCCCCTGCGCCCCAGAACAGGTTTGCTGATGAAGCAAATCTACCAGTGTGTATGTGTGTGTGTGTGTAAATGAAGAAGTTCAAGTGAGTGTTTGTAAATGAAAATCCCTCTGTGGATGTGCAAATTGTGCTTATTACCCCTAGGATGTGTGGGAGATGTACCTCAGAGGTGGCACCTCCGGGGCTGGGAGGGAGAGGAGCATGTGATGGGGCGGGGCATCTGGAGAAGAGACAGAGAAAGGGGCGGGGCCCCAGGGATCTGGTTACCAGCCATGAAAAAGGTGGCAATCCTAGACGGGATTTCTCTGAGCTCAAAAAAGGGAGAAGTGCTGGAGCACAGCTTGCAGGCCGGTGCTTTATGCACAGGATCATACTCCACAAAGTCAAGCCAACAATGGAATCCGTGCTCAGGCCTCCTATTGACCTCTTGATTTCTTGCTTTTCAGGCCTTCTCTGCCTTTTACTACACCTTCAGCTTCCTCAACCTGACCAGTGGGCAGCCCCTGGCCATTGTCGAGGACACTGTCCAGAAGTTCTGTGCAAGAAATTGGACAGACGTGCGTGCTGTGAGGGGGGATGGAAGCTACAGGGGCCATCTGTGGGGATTGCAAAGCAAAGGGTCCCAAGAGGGGAGGGGGAAGGGAACTCTCACACAAGGCAGGCCAGGGTTATTGAAGGGGTAGGTGGTATCACCAAGCTCAGTGCCCTGGGAACAGTCAGAGGGCCAGTAATCGCTGCTCTGAGCTGCCCATGGGGGTGCAGGCTCAGTTCCTAGGCCCAGCCGCTCTCCCCAGGCTGGCAGGAGCCTGAAGCCCCATGGATGCAGCATGCTCCCACTCTGGTGGGAGGCAGCGCATCCTGTCACTCCATGGCACCCTTTGTGGCAGCCAGAAGCCATGCTGATGGGCTCTCAGTTGGCCACCGTCAGGAATGAAATGGTCCCGAGTGATCAATTTAAATCAAGGGGAGGGGACAAAACTGCCCAAAGCACCAACTCCCTCACCCAGAAAACATCCTGCAGCTTCCCCAGGATGACCAACGTCACTCCCACGCAGGGCTGAGGAGTGGGAATGGCCAGTCAGCACCAGAGGAATTTTCACTGCTGAGGTTGCACGTACCCAGCTGCTGTGCTGTACAAACCCTCCTATCTGGCCTGGCGCACAGGGACGCTCTTAGGACGGATCCAGCCTACGGAAGGGGGGGGCCCTGTTGGGGTGGGTGCACAGCTCCCTGGCTGGGGAGAGCAGGGCAGAGTAGAGACAGGCTGGACATGGGTCCCGCTGGGGACAGAGAATGAGGTCATGGCCATGTTGTACATGATTAACATTGGGGTGGGGCAGCCATCCCAGTTGCCCAATCACAGCTCATTTGATGAGTTAGGAAATACCTGCCTGGTCGATGAGCAAGCATCTGTCTCTGAACCCGAGAGAGATGCGGGCCACCAATCCCTCTCTCCACACCCCAGACGGTCAGGGAGCTGCCAGGACAAAGTCTGCCCCTGCTGTAGGCTCAGAGCTCCTGTCACACTGCTGCCATTAACACCCCTTCTCTCCCCTGTGCTGATTGTTCACCCCCCAGTTGAAATCCAGCTACCCCAAAGAGAAAGATCAAAGGCTGCGAGAGTACTGCGCCAACGCCAACTACATCCTGGTGCTCCTGCTCGACGCCTACAAATTCAACCAAAGCAGCTGGAGCAGCATCAAGTTCCAGATGAAGGTGAGCAAGAGTCCAAGTGCAGAGGCTGGGAGGAAGAATTGCACGTCAACCGGCTTAGAGTCAGCACGGCTCAGCTGATGGCGCAGGTGCTCTCGCTTCAGAGGCCGAAGGGCATGGCTGCTACTCCTGCTAGTCCATGCCTGTTCATAGAACCATAGAAGGTTAGGGCTGGAAGGGACCTCAGGAGGTCATCTAGTCCAACCCCCTGCTTGAAGCAGGACCAATCCCCAATTTTTTTGCCCCAGATCCCTAAATGGCCCCCTCAAGGATTGAACTCACAACCCTGGGTTTAGCAGGCCAATGCTCAAACCACTGAGCTATCCCTCCCCCCAAAATAAGACCAAGGTTTCTTTACTCTCTAGAGGAAGGAGACCCCAGATGGGACTTGAACCCACAATCTCTGGCTTTGGAAGCTAATGCCATATCCATTAGGCCACTGAAGTTCCTCTGCAGGCTTAACGATTCACTGCAGTGACTATGCCCCTGCTCTTCCAGCCCACAGCTCTGCCGGTGCACCTCAGTCCTGACCTGCCCCCACTCCTGCTCTTGCAATCCTTGGCTTCCCACCCTGAGAACTCCACCAGTCCTCCTCAGTCCTGCGATTCTGGGTCCCTGCTGCAGCTCAGCAAGTGCTGATGGACTGTGCGCAGTTGTGGCAAAAATCATGAGGTAGTTTTATGATGAGGACCCGAAATGACGAGAAAGAGGGTCTAGACGCCCCTGTGCCCTCTGACCTATGGCAGGGTTTGGAAGCCAAGGGCTGGGAAGGTGTTTTGCTGCCACAGTCTGTGCTCTGCTGTGGTGCAGAGCGAGGACAGCCTCTGTTCCTTGTGCCCATGCCCGTGACTCTCAGGCAGCATACTACGCGCACTGCAAGTCAGGAATCTGGGTGTCCCCGTCTCCCTGTGGGAATTGAGGCTACTAGTAGCTTGCACCTCTTGGGGACTGGCCATCCCCTTAATACCATCCTGGCCATCCCCTTAATCCTCTTTCCCCGGGCAGGCTGCGGACACGGACATTGGCTGGGCCCTGGGCTACGTGCTGAACCTCACCAACATGATCCCGGCGGAGGCCCCCGAACAAGTGAAAGGGCAGCAGCGTGGGCTCTGGGCCGCCACCATCTTCTTCATCGTCCTGACGCTGGCTTTCTGCCTTGTTGGCTTGCTCATACACTTCCTGGGATAGGAGCCGTTCAGCAGGAGCAGATGGCCAGGGCTTCAGCACCTTGCACCCGCCTCTAATGAGAGGCCTTAGACACCCTGTTAAATGGAGACTTGAGGGGTGGGCACCCCCAGAACATAACTGACCCCACAGCAAGATTTAAACTAGGCCCTATATCGCACGAGGAGTTGGAGCCACTACCCCTTGAGGCTGGAGTTTTCAAGGTATTTAGCCACCTAAAGATGCTGATAGGCACCGAGTGGGATTTTTTTCAAAAGCATTTAAGTGCCTAACTTAAAGTTTTTCACACAACTCACAGTCAACCTGTGGAACTCCTTGCCAGAGGATGTTGTGAAGGCCAAGACTATAACTGGGTTAAAAAAAGAACTAGATAAATTCATGGAGGATAGGTCCATCAATGGCTATTAGCCAGGATGAGCAGGGATGGTATCCCTAACCTGTTTGCCAGAAGCTGAGAATTGGTGACAGGGAATGGATCACTTGATCATTACCTGTTTTGTTCATTCTCTCTGGGGCACCTGGCATTGGCCACTGTCGGTAGACAGGATACTGGGCTAGATGGACCTTTGGTCTGACCCAGCATGGCCGCTCTTATGTTTTTGTGTTCTTATGAACTCCACTTGGTTTCAGTAGGAGTTAGGAGCTTAGGTACTTTTGAAAATCCCATTAGGTGCCTAACTGCATCTTCAGCTGCCTAAATACCTGTAAAAATCTGGCCCTCGTGCCCCTAGCTGCAACCCAGGTTCACAAGCCTCTTACATGAACCCATCAGTGGAGGGAGCAAGAGTAGAGCGGGGCACTATTTTTCAGATGAATATGGTTTATTAGCTGAAAAATCAACCCAAAACTATTTGTGAATTTGACACAAATTTGCTGAATAATTTTGGCCAAAAACAAAAAAACAAAATTGGGCTGGAGTCACCAGAGGCTTAAGTGCCATTCGCCAGACAGCTGGAGGAGGAGCTGGCTTCCAACCACCTCTGCACTGCGAGGTCAGCGCACTCCCCTGCAATGTGGGAGATGCAAGTTCAATTCCGCCTGCTGTAGAGTGGGGAATGCACTTGGGTCTCCTGCTCACAGAGGAGTGTGCTTACCACCAGGCTACAGGATATTTTGGTGTGGGACTTGAAACTGCTTATTCTGTTCATTCCCTCTGAAGCACCTGGTACTGGCCACTGTCAGCAGACAGGGCACCCTGTTAAATGGATGGACCCTTCATCTGACCCAGTATGGCCATTCTTATGTTCTTATGAAACACTGTCACTTTGTACAACATACTTGAATAACATCGGCGGCAGATATCGTACGCAGGGGGAGGCTGTGGCTCCCCAAACAGCCTAGCGTTGTCCAGCTCATGTTCCACCCCCAAGCCAGGCCCCCTCCTGCGGTTCCCAGCGCTCTGCCCTGGCTGGCCCAGGCTGGCTTGCCTGCCTCCCACAAGGACTCAGGGTGGCTGGTGCTAGGGCCGTGCTGCCCTGCGCTCTGGGGCTGGCCACCTGGCGCTGGGGCTGGGGGCCGTGGCAGGGGTGCTCTGGGATCTTGCAAGGGAGAAGGGCGGGGGGGGGGGTGGAGACGGGGAGGCAGGGGGCCTTGGGCACAAGGGGAGGAGCCAGGGGCTAGCCTCCCCCATCAGCCGGGTCACTGGCTGCCCATGCTTCAATAGTCAGTGGGTGAGAGAGAGAGACCAGCACAGACTGACAACATAGTCCAGTGGTTAGGGCACTCACCTAGCAATAGATGAGGCCCAAGTCCCTGCTCCAATAAATATTTATACACAGTGGAAAAGGTTCAGCATCTGCTACTGAGAGACCCCCACGTCGGTGGCGAGGGCCCTTTCCTGTAACGGTGGGGAGACCTGAGTTCAAATCTTTAGCCCATCTCAGGTGGAGTGGGGGAGTCAGACACATTCTCCCACATCCTAACTCCTGGGCTAAAAGTTGTAAGAAGGAGTCCTCTTCTGCTGGCCATTGTGTGAATCTAGCCTGAACAATTTAACAATGCCTGAAAACAAAGCATTTGGGGTCAATCCAAACAATGGACATTTTTGATTCACTGGAATGTTTGGGTTCAGCTTGAGCAAAACCATATTTCTGCGGGTTTCTTCAATCGTTTGGAACTTCCAGCGATCTGAGAAGAATCAGTTATTCACTGAGCTCTAACATGAGTCCCACGCTCTCCCACTGCAGGGCACATAAATACATTGTCCTGACTGGCTCTAGCGACTGTTTTTTAACAAACATTCTTGGGAGGGGCACACCTGCAAAACCATATCTCTCCCTCTGCTCCCACCCATAGGGATTCGGGGCTGCTGAGGGACTCATGCTGCTAGCCCTCCCTTGCACTGTGGGTGCACTGGTAAATGGTCCAGTAATTCATGCTAAGGGCAGTACATTGCCATGTCAGGCTTTGCCAGGACCGAGAGGTCCTAGCAGCTAGGAAGGCATCACCTGAGTCTGCAGCGGTTAAATGAGATCCAAGCCCTAGCTCTGGTCTCTGGTAAATTTAGAACTGACATCTGCCCGATCCTGCATTTGATATAACTTTAATGAGACTTTTCCACTGGCACATTAATTAAAAGGTGAATTGAGTGTTCAAGTGTTAGTGAGAATTAGCAGCTATATCAGAATAACAGTTGGAGTCTTCCCAAAGGGAGTCTGTTCCCACCTCCGTCCCCAGGGGGTTTTCCCAGGAGCCCCTTTGAGTGTGAGGAGATGAGAGCTCCTCAGGATGTGAAGGATAATGGGGAAAACCCCTTCAGTGGTCTCTTGGCCTAGGATCAAGGAGTACCCGGTTCCACCCTTGTGTACCAGTCAAATCCAGTTCATCCCCAGTAGCTTTCCTCCCAGGCTCTGCTCGATACCCCAGGGGGGTGGGAGGACTGTCCCCCAAAAATCTTTAAATAAGTCAGTAATGAGAGCCCTGGGATTTTTGCTCTTGGTTGGATGTTTGAAGGTTGTCCTCTTTGATAATTCTAATGGGAGAAATTCAACCCCACACAAGGTCTCTGCACCAAAGAAATCCGGCCAGGGCTCCAGTGGTATACAAGTCTTTCCCTGGCCCATGCACTGGAGTACATTTCATCCTATTTCTTCTCTGCCTGTAACATCATCTCCATCACTGTCTTCCATCACCTGCCTTCATTTTCTGTCCAGTTCTGTGATTTGTTTCCTAATCAATATTTCTGTTGCGAATGCTAGGCCCTGGGTTTTACTTTCTATGGAGAAAGCACAGAAACTTTGAATTTATTCCTACTTTATTTCATTAGCAAAGTAATTGTTACAGGAAGCAGAGAAGAGAAACTGTTATGTGGTCTGTGAAAGTAAATGCCTGTCATTCTGAGGCATTAGAAACAATCAATGTATCTAAAAGCTCTGACATGGCACCTTCTGGGCTTCGGCTCAGTCTGAAGCCTGGACTGCAGGCAGATTGTTGGGTGCCATGAACTGCTGCTTTCACAGAGATGAGAAAGACTACAAACCTTCCCAAGGTAATCAACAGTGGAAGCTCATCTTGCCAGAGTGCATATGCTGCATGGCTCCAGAGTGCCCTGCACATCTGCAATGTGTCATCATTGTTAAACGGGTCAAAAGGAAGCCATCAATGGAATCCCCATCCCATCCCAGACTGACTGACAGGATTGTGGGTGTGTCCGTGTCTGCACGGCTCTTGGACCAACAGCCTAGCTGAGAACAAGGATAGGCTGAAGAAAAGTAACTGCTGTGCACAGATCTCAATACAAGGATCCCCACAGGGCGGGGTCACTGTGCCGTCATGCGCTGAATGGCCACCTGGGAAGGCTTCTTACTGCTGCCCAGAGAGTGGTGGCCTCCAAACTGTGGCCATCTTAGAGCTGCTACTAGCAAAATCCCCTACAGCTCTCCAAACCCAGGAGTCCACAGCAGGGGGATCCAGCCGGCCCCGTCCTCTCTGGGCCTGCCTGGGTGAAGATGCTGAGGCAGCTGTGGAATCATTTGCTGCACTATTGGTGACCCCGATGAGAACTCGGGCGTGGAGTTGGCTTTGCTGACTCACTCTTTTAAATGGCATTGCAGGCATTTCCACTTAGCCCCTTTGGCAGTCCAGGGCTGCCAGTCATATGTCATTGCTCTGTCTGAACTTCAGGGAATTCTGTCACCCACGGCAGGTGCTGATCCTAAGGATGGTCAAGTGTGAAGAATATGTCCGTGAAGTTGGTTTGGATGGGTGGGTGGCTGGAGGTTAAATGATATTCTGTGTAACATGGCCCAAGAGATTGATTCCAAAATCATTTCAATGCTCAGGAAAGTTTCCCTGCCACTGATACATTGAGGAGGTCAGGGCCAGCTCCTTCTTGGCAGGGAAGCTTGACTACACTCCACATTCAAGAACATGTATTTTGTTGGTTGTGTGGACAATTGTTTGCTTGCAAGCTTCCTTTGAAATTGCTGCACACCCATGCGTCACTACACTGTGTGTGCCCTCCGTGTAGCATAGCACAGCAAGTTCAGTCTTTGTTCGATTACTGGGAACCAAACATGAGGAGCTGCTAAGACCCAGTGCACTCAGTATTAGCCCTTGAGAAAAGCCAGCTATACCAGGCCTCCACATTCAAAGTAAGAGGAGACGTGTGGCCCCAGACAAAGAACACTGAATTCCTGATGGGAGGCTGTCACCCAGCGGCCCGTTGGTGGTTCACTTCTCTGTGTCAGCTGCTCAACAGGCCTGACATACTCACTACACCTAACACGCTGGTGTCAGGATATTTACCCAAAAGGTGGCACGAAATATGCCCTTGGACAACTAATAACTCACTATAGCCTTATCAGTAATATTCTGATGGTTGTACGATCAACCTGCAAAAGCTTATACAGTGGTGCTGGACTCATGACTCAAATGTATTTAAACCAGGCATGTCAAGGAGAGTTAATAAACCGGTTCCCGACCCCCGCCCCCAAAAAAGGAATGTGGTTCCGCCTGCATGACTGGGTCTCCATACAGATGGAACAAGGTGTGACCAAAGACAAAGAGAAGCACATCTGCCTGGCAGGCAAACAAAGCCATCAGGAGAGCAAGTGGGGAAAACATGAGCACAAAACAATCTCAGCAGGAGATGGAGCCTGCACCCCCAGGGAGCCTTCCTGTCTCTGGCAGCAGGGTCAGTGACCTGTGAGAGAGACTTTTCAAAGGTTTACTGGCCTATAAGAGAGGGGCAGAGAACTTTCCATGATCCTTCACCTGAGGCAACAAGGCAAACCAGCGGCTGGGACTCTGGGGGATACTGGCTCAGAACCAGTCAGCCATCACTGGAAAAGGAAGCTTGGTGAGGAAATTAACTTGAACAAAGACCATGGCTTGTTAAGCCAAATTTTAGCTTTTATCTTTATCCTTTGTACTTGAACTCACTTCAAACCTGGCTTTGTAACTGAATAAACTGTTTTACTTTTTATCCAAACCAGCCCAGTGCTTTGATTGAACTGGAGGGACTGTAACACCCATCAAGAGACCAAGCTGCTTTTCCTCTCTTTACGGGAGCAGCAAGTGTAATAATTTCTGTGAGTGTTCTAGGAGAGTGTTCCCTGGGCACAGCAGGGAAACAGTTCTGGGAAATGTAGGACTCAGAGTGTGGGGGTCACTTTGAAACACTAACTGGGGGTAGAAGCCAGGCAGTGCCCTGCACACTTGTCTGCTGGCTGTTGGTGTCCAGGCCGTGCCCTGCACGCTTGTCTCATGGCTGTTGGCGTCCATGCCATGCCCTGCACGCTTGTCTGCTGGTGTCCGTGCCATGCCCTGCACGTTTGCCTGCTGGCTGTTGGTGTCCGGGATGTGCCTTGCATGCTTGTCTGCCAGCTGTTGGTGTCCAGGCTGTGAGCCGCATAAATAGAGCATTTAAGGCACCCAGAGTTATGCCAGGCAGGCAGTGACACAACCCGTCACTGGTCTGGGTTGAACCCCAAAACGTCAGAGAGGCTGTGTTGGGAAAGACCCTGCAAACTCTACAGAATGTTGCTACGGAAGCAGAAAACCCAGCCGTGGGTCTTAATATTGTTGCAGAGCTCTCAGGGGTTCTAAGAAGACTTGGGAACAAAGTGAGAACCTGATCACAAGGTACAGTAGGGTTGTCAGAGTGGGTGATGGGTTAGAAGTGAGCTGAACTATGCCCCCAACTTTGGCCATCCTACTGTTCTTCTGACCTCTCTATGGGACTTTCAAGGGGGAGAGGGCTCTTCCTATCGTCATTCTAAAAGCTAGGGTGCAAGGGAGAGCAGACAGGCTGTGGAACAATCCCAGCATCAGCCCCCGACCCCCATCCCGCAGAAGAGCTGATGCAGACCGTATGAAAGGGGATCCAGGCCCTGGTTGTCAGTCTGATTCTATCATCAGAGTGGAATAAAACCTCCTCTCCAAGGTGAAGTCCAGCATGACATGAGCCTGTGTCGCTGCCTCTTTCATAGCCCCCAGGCAGCAGGAGAAGAGATGTTGCTGCAGAAATACGCAAAGCCTCAGGTTCCTGCATCCTGTAGCCCACAGGGTTTAATGACTGCCCAGGTAGCAGCCTGAAACCATAACGCATTGTGCATTCATCAGCCAGGACATACAGACCTTAGCGGGCCTCATCCCAGAGGATGGCTGAGTCTATTACCCACCTGCACTATACTTACACTGACCCCTGAACCCAGACTGCTCCAGCTCCCCCAAATAATCACCAACTTGGGCTTTACGTTTAACTACAAGGCAGTCACCGACACAGAACTACTCCTCCAGTTGGCACAGTTGTTTGCAAGCTACATCCACCTCCACTGCATTGTTCAGAGGTTCAACTCCACATGCAAACGCCTGGAATTGCCAGGGCTTTGGAACGCTGCATCTCTGGCTGCCTCAGCCCTCAATGGGGCAGTAGCCACATGCTGCAGCCACCGTGCTGGAACTTCCAGCACCTCAGAGTTTGTGCTTGTAAACTTGTGGGGGGACCCGGAAAGAACTGGCAAGCACAGGATTTTCATTTTATTTACAAGCATGTTTAGTGAGCTATTTGGAAGTATGTACTGGGGGTCCTCAAGCCTGGAGCCCCCCACCCTGTGCAGAGCCATAATTACATCTCTGCCTCAGTTTGCCCTAATGGACTTTCAATAAGTCTAACGAGACTGAGGTATAGTGAGCAGTGTCCCTTCAGGGGTCTAGTTTATCTAACCCAAAGGCAAACCATTACCCAAATAGGCCTCCACCCAGTATCCTAACTGGAGCAGGAAGGGTCTGCGTTAACTTTAGTCCAATAATTCCACTTATGTCCAGGTCCCTGACTAGTGAGGCCCTCTTGATTCAGAGCCCTCCTCTGGAGTCAGGGCCATTTGTCAGCTGGGGAAGGGTCTTGATCCTCTTGGGTCAAGGGCCCCACAGAGGTCAAACCACAATGCCCCTTCCTCAGAGCAGCATATAAATCCTCTCAGCTGGGGAACCTACCGCTACCTGGTGAAGTTCTTTCATGGCAACAAGGCTTCAGTGAGACTTGGCATTCATACCTCTTTGCTTTCAGAGCCTTTCACACCAGGAACACTCTTCCTTGGTTCAGGTTGCCAACCCTCCAGGATTGTTGAGTCTCCAGGAATTCACAATTCATTGGTAATTAAAGATTACGTCAAGTGATGAAATCTCCAGGATCACGTCCAACCAAAATTGGCAACCCTAGTCATAGTTTCCTTTCCTGCTGTGCTTCCTCACCAGCCCCCACTCTTCTCAGAAGCCCTCCCCTTAGGAGTTTTCTCTTTCTGCATTCTGGGGACAGTTCATCTCCCCAGAGCCTCTGTTCCCTAAGACAGACCGCCAGGGGTAGATTCCTAGTCCGCTGCCCTGAGGAGTTCTTTCTCCAGGGGCTTCTTCTTGGCGTTTTCGCCTGCCTGAGCCCCCATAACCCTTTATAAGAACCAGCTGGTAATTAACTAGTGTCCTGCTGCTTGGGCACTCACTTATCCCAAGAGGGAGCTGGGCTGGACATTCACTTTAGCAGGGCCTGTCACAGGTAGGCTGAGAGCCAGTGACAAGGTGGAACAATGATCTGCTTGGGAAGAGGCACCCAGTCTTACTGGGTTTGATGGGAAACGGAGTTCTCTGTGCAGCGCCCAGAGCAGCCTCATATGCCAGGGTGGCTTTCCCATGTGGTACCTGTGCCTGCCTCTCTTCTCTCTCCCTTACACATGTATAAGCCAGGGTAAGAAGAGGCTGGCCCCTGCCATATTAATCTTTTGTAACCCTGACCCAGGGCAGTATCTGGAGCCTGGCCCGAACACCCAGTCTGTAACCGACACCCTGTGCACCACACCCAGCCCCTCCTTGTTAGAGACAGCCAAAGGGCAAGAGTCTGCTTCCGCAGACTGCTGAATATGTCGTCTGGTGCTCACTGGACCAGGAGGAGACTCAGTCACTCCCATTCCCTCCGCCTTGCTCCAGCTGGCCCTGGAGTCTCCTGGCGCTCTAGCCAATGCTTCCTGCCTCACCAACACCCTTCCAGCTTCCCCCTGCACCCCAAATCCAGCAGGCCAAGGCCCCTGCCCACACCGCTCCCCCTCTCTGTCATATTTCCCAAGCCACCCCATCACCTCCAGCTCAGCTCCACAACCGCCCCTCCCCAAGCCCTGTAAACCAGCCTCTCCACCCCCTCCATTGCCACCCCCTGGACACTCACTACAGACTAAGCTCCTCCCCCACAAACCGTTTCGGCCATCCCCCCCAAACTGGGCTCTGCAGGGCGCAGCAGCACCCTCCTCAGGATGGACTTTGTTTGCACAGGGGGCCTTGCTGACCGGAAAGAGGCGGGAGGGAACACGGCAGGAAGAGCAGGAAGCCAGCACAGCTCACAGGCTTGAGATTTTACTGAAAAGTGTCACCAATTTGCCAACAAGCGGCACTTGTCCTTCAAACCCAACATTCCCACCCTCCCTGGGGAGGGGCTTCTCTCCCAGACCCTGCCTCCAGCAGCTAGTGGGGACACTAGGTTGCAAGGCCACAAATGTCTCTAAACACGGGACTACATGTGGTCCAGGGGAAAGCCATGTGTGGCTCCTGATGGCAGCAGGGCCCCAGCCCGAGGAGCACCGGCCAGCTACAGCATAGTCTCATAGGTGGCAAAGAGCCTCTGATAGCACAGAGCCAGGCCTGCCCAGAGGATCACGGCCAGCATGAGGCAGGTGGTGAGCACGGCCGCTGCCCACAGGTCAGGCCGCTGCCCCTTCACTTGGTCGGGAGCCTCCAAAGGGATCGCGTTGGTGAGGTTCAACATGTAGCCCAGGCTCCAGCCCACATCCGCAGCAGCCACCTGAGAGGAGAGAGTGGAAAGTTTTATGGACTGACGAAGGGCTGGCTCCTGGGCACTCAGTGCTGGGCGGGGAAGGAGGTGAATCGGAGCCTTCTTCAGTGATCTACAGCAATATAGAGTGAGCTTGTTCTTAGGTAGTCATTGTGCAGTTCAGCAGCCCCAGAACCCACCCCGGAACCCTCGCCTGGCTCCAGAACGCACTCCAGACCCCTCACCCAGCCCTGGAACCCTCACCCGGCCCCGGAGCCCACACAGCCCTGGAACCCTCACCCAGCCCCAGAACGCAGCCCTGGAACCCTCACCCAGCCCCAGAGCGCAGCCCTGGAACCCTCACCCAGCCCCAGAGCCCACACCCAGCCCCGGAGCCCTTGCCTGGCCGCAGAACCCACCCCAGAACCCACGTCCAGCCCCGGAGCCCTCGTCCAGCCCCAGAACCTGCTCCAGAGGCCCTCACCCCCCAGCCCTGGAACCCTCACCCACCCCAGGCCCCCCCCCCCGGAGCCCTTGCCCAGAACCCCCCCAGAACCCTCCCTTGCCCAGCCCCACCCCCCCCCCGAGCCCTCACCCAGCCCTGGAACCCTCACCCAGCCCCAGAGCCCACACCCAGCCCTGGAACCCTCACCCAGCCCCAGAGCCCCCCCACCACCCAGCCCTGGAACCCTCACCCAGCCCCAGAAGAGCCCTGGAACCCCCCCAGACCACACCCAGCCCTGGAACCCTCACCCGGCCCCGGAGCCCTTGCCCAGCCCCAGACCCCCCCCCCCGAGCCCTCACCCAGCCCTGGAACCCTCACCCAGCCCCAGAACGCAGCCCTGGAACCCTCACCCAGCCCCAGAGCGACTACCCTCACCCAGCCCCAGAGCCCCAGGCCTGGCCCCCCCAGAACCCACCCCAGAGCCCACACCCAGACCGCTCCAGAGCCCTCACCAGCCCTGGAACCCTCACCCAGCCCCGAATCCGCCCAGACCCTCCCCCCAGAAACCCACCCCCCCCAGACCCGTCCAGCCCTTGGAACACCGCCCCTGGACCCGCCCAGCCCCAGAACCCACTCCGAGCCCTCCCCAGCCCTGGAACCTGCCAGGCTCCCCCCCCCCCAGAGCCCTCACCCAGCCCTGGAACCCTCACCCAGCCCCAGAACGCAGCCCTGGAACCCTCACCCAGCCCCAGAACGCAGCCCTGGAACCCTCACCCAGCCCCAGAGCCCACACCCAGCCCCGGAGCCCTTGCCTGGCCGCAGAACCCACCCCAGAACCCACGTCCAGCCTCCGGAGCCCTCGTCCAGCCCCAGAACCTGCTCCAGAGCCCTCACCCAGCCCTGGAACCCTCACCCAGCCCCAGAATCCGCCCAGAGCCCTCGTCCGGCCCTGAAACCCACCCCAGAGCCCTCGTCCGGCCCCAGAACCCGCTCCAGAGCCCACACCCAGCCTTGGAACCCTCACCTGCCCCTGGAGCTCTCGCCCAGCCCCAGAACCCACCCCAGAGCCCTCACCCAGCTCTGGAACCTGCCCCAGAGCTCTCACCCAGCCCCAGAACCCGCTCAGAGCCCTTGTCCGGCCCCAGAACCTGCTCCAGAGCCCACACCCAGCCCTGGAACCCTCACCCAGCCCCAGAACCCACCCAGAGCCCTTGTCTGGCCCTGGAACCCACCCCAGAGCCCTCACCCAGCTCTGGAACAGGCCCTAGAGCCCTCACCCAGCCCCAGAACCCACCCAGAGCCCTCGTCCGGCTCCAGAACCCACTCCAGAGCCCACACCCAGCTCTGGAACCTTCACCCGATCCCGGAGCCCTTGCCCAGCCCTGGAACCTGCTCTGGAGCCCTCGACTGGCCCTGGAACCCATCCCAGAGTCTTCACACAGCACTGGAACCCATGCCCAGCCACAGAACCTGCCCCCATCCTCCATTGCTGTGAAATTGTGCTCTAGAATTTAAATTTGCAACTTTAACAACTGAAGGGCATGTAGCCCCCGCAGTTGGGAGGAAAGTGAGAAGCGTGTAACTGATGTTGGCTGTGAGCCTGCAGACAGCCCAAGATGAAAGCAGAGAGCCATAACCTGCCTCATTCATCTCAAGGAATTGTTAATTCTGAAACTTAACAGTGGCAAGTTAAACATCAGCAGTTTCATCATGGAGTATTTCAAGAAGCATCCAGCTAATGAGTTTCTCCCACAGCACCAAACCCTGCCATGCCTTTCCAGTGTGCCGTGTGCCAAAACCTCCCACCCTGCCTGCCAGCTTCAAACGCAGTGCTGCTATGTGAGTGCAAAACTGGGGGGCTAGAGACAGCACCAAAGAAACTAAATGGAATCTCAGCAAACCCGGGGTGACAGGACTGGTTTATTGATCTTCAGATTTCATTCATATAGTCTCCATTGATCTGCCTTAGAACAGAACACAGGAATTGTCAGACTGGCTCAGAGCCAACATCCATATGGTCCAGTATCCTGTCTTTGGCAGTGGCCAGCATCAGATGTGTCAGGGGAAGGGACAAGAACCTGGCAGTCGGCAGTGATGGGATAATCTGTCCTGTCCTCCAGCACACACAAATCACATCCTAGTCTCTGATCTGCCCAGAATGCAGGGACTCTGCTGCAGTATTTAGGCCCACAGAGCTACAGAGGATACAGGGGCCTGGGTTAGACTGAGCTTGTCTAGCTTAGACCGAGCTTGTCTAGCTTAATCCACCTTCCAGCTCCATGGGAACCAGCTACTCCGACTGGAACAAAGAACAGTAACTACAGGGAGTGTGAGTGATTGCTGGACCCAGATTAGAAGGAAACTAGTCTGTAAAAGGAAGCTTACTGGAACGGGTGAGGATTTTATCTGTATTCAGTTTTATTAGACATAGACTTGCGTGCTTTATTTTATTTTGCTTGGTAATTCACTTTGTTCTGTCTTGGAACCACTTAAATCCTACTTTCTGTATTTAATAAAATCACTTTTTACTTATTAATTAACGCAGAGTATGTAAATGCTGGGGGGGTGGCAAACAGCCGTGCATATCTCTCTATCAGTGTTACAGAGGGCGAACAATTTATGAGTTTACCCTGTGTAAGCTTTATACAGGATAAAACAGATTTATTTAGGGTTTGGACCCCACTGGGAGTTGGGCATCTGAGTGTTAAAGGCAGAAACACTTCTTAACTTGCTTTCAGTTAAGTCTGCAGCTTTGGGGCACACGGTTCAGACCCTGGGTCTGTGCTGGAGCACACTGGCATGTCTGGCTTAGCAAGACACTGTGTTGGAGTCCTTAGCTGGCCGGGAAAGCATGGGAAGAAGTAGTCTTGGCACATCAGGTGGCAGCTCCCAGGGGGTTTCTGTAATCCAACCCGTCACACAGAGCACCTACCGTCTGCAGGGTTTATAATCCAGACTGCGGGGGTTGGAATCCTGCCACCTGACTGCCTCGCTTATCTTGTGTTTCAGGCTCACCTGCCACAGGCTGGATTTATGTGAGAGCCAGCGTAACGGAGAGACTGGCCTTTAGGGGCAGCTGCACCAGACTGCACAAATAGGCTCCCAGTGAAGGAAACAGACCTGCACTGGCTGCAGGAGAATTGGGGCGGGCAGGGTGACTCAAGTGGCCTTTTGGTTCCTAATTTGTTTGGCTATTGGGAGAGAGACACAGACAAAATGCAACTTTTTTCCAGACTGGCACAATTGTATACTTTGGATTGTGTAATGTAGCTGAGCAGCCACTGGATGGCAGCAGTGATTCCAATGCTGAGATTCCAATGCCAAGAACCCCAGCAGGCTGTATTACCCCCATGGGAGGGAAGAAGGGGAAAGCTGTTGCACGCTGGGCTGGGGGAAGCAGGGTAAAGACTACACAGACCCTTTATCTCCATCTCCCCTCATCTGGGCACTCATGGAGCAGATTTCCCTCGGGAGCCCACAGTGGTAAGGCAGACCCACTCAGGGGGGCAACGGACCCTGCCAGATAGACGTCCTACCTGCCGGAGGAACTGGATTTTGCTCCATGTCTGGTTGTCAAACTTGTAGCCTTGCAGCAGGAGGGTGAGAATGTAGGTGCTGGCAGCGCAGTAATCCTGCAGGCGGGTCTTGTTCATGCCAGGACACACCATTTTCAACTAGGGACACGAGGGGCGGGGAAGGAGGTCAGTGCAAATCTGCTATTCCCAGTTAGCCCATTGGTAACTTTACTCTCGCGAGTCACAAGTCAGAGAGGCCCCCTCGCCCCACCCCCCCACCCCCCACAGACCTGCTATTTCAGCTCCAAGCCAGGCACGTGGCAGAGGCACCCACCTTGCTTTAGACTCCAGTTGCTACCAACCTGGACCAGATCCATGCTGGGGACCTTAAGACGGCAGCAAGGGCTCTATGCCCCGTCCCTGAACCCAAGGCATGCAGCCCTCACTCCCCTCACTGCTTTACCCTGCACTCACTCACTGGAAGCATGCTCTGCTCTGCCACTGGGATAACTGGGACCCTCAGGACTTCGGGCCCAGCAAAGTCTCCATCCTGAGAGGGCAGGGTGAAGAATCTGTCACCCAGGTTTTGCATGAGAAGGAGCAGCAGCCCAGAGGGTTTCTCCAGGGAAGGTCCCTCCTACAGCATGCTTATCCTCGCTGCTTCCAGTCACCAAAAGAATGCCTCTGCTGCGGGAGCTCTGATCCCTTCAGAACACAGAGGGGCCTCCCCTCCCATTCCCGCTGCCACAGCTTCCCTATGGCATGGCCCTGGGTCACTCACACAAGTAACTAGGCTCACAGGACGGAACCAAGATGGAAAGTGACTCCTTTTACTAAGCCAGCACAGCCACTGCTGGCTCCAGCTCTGTGGCCTTGGGCTGTTTGTTTCCTCTCCCTGCTATAGACAGGGCTTTGCAATTCCCTCTCCCCTGGCTCTCTGCAGCTCCCACTGCTCCGTCTTTCCTCTCAGTTTGCTGCCCACCCATCAGCAAATCTGATCATGGCTGAATTTAACCCTCAGCCAGATACTGCACAAGGCACTGAGAGGAGCAGAGGTTTAAACCTCTGGGAACCTAGCAAGATGCGTCACCGTTTGGAGACAGATAAATAATTCAGCACCGCAGCAGGGGCCGTTACACACACCTTCGGGAAATGCTCTACAGACCACTGATGTGCAACGAGCCAGTTGACCTTCAGAAAACCCGGGGGGGAGAAGTCCCAGCATAATTTAGAATCCAGAAGCTACCGATTTGTCCCCCATCTTTCTGCCCAAGCCAAGGTTCCCCGCCATACAGAAGATCCCAAGGGAAGGAGAATCCCAGCCTGCTAATGGTACCCTTGTGTTCTCTAGTTTCCCTGTGCATCTAGATTCAGGCATTACATGACAGCACTGGTGGCTGCTAACTGGGGGTCTCACCTCCTTCCAGTCCTTAGCACAGAATTGCTCGATGGTGGCACTAACGTCACTCAGGGGCTGCCCGCTGGTCAGGTTCAGAAAGTGGAAGACGGAATAAAACCCGGAAAAGGCCTTAAAACAACAAGCAAAGCAGGTTAGCCAAGCAGCCAGCCCTCAGCGACATGCTCTCCACAGGCCAAGAGCCTCAGCCACTCCGACTCTTCACTGCAGTCTCCATAAACCAGCTTCCATCTCAAAGGAGACAGCCCCAGAAAAGGAGGCAGGGTGTGGGACGGATTCTCTCACCCTCCTTTGGACATGAAATTAGTGCCAGTGAATGGTGCCTGATGCAGAGCAATGGGCTTGGAGGCTCTCCATCCACAGCTGGGATAGAACTAGCTATGGATCTGAACACACGCACTGAGCCACTGCCCATGGCTGGAAGCATGACTTTCCAGGGCACCTGCTCGTAGGGCAGTATTATCACCAAGGCCTATCTATGATTCTATGATTCTATGGGGCAGAGAGGAGAGCCCAAGCTTCCTAGTGTCTCGTGAGTTCAAAGAACTGAGCCCAGGGAACCCCTCTAGTTCTCCCAGCACACAGAGCTGTAGATAAGATCTAAATAACAAGGGTTACATTCATGAGATGCAGCTTGCACCAGACAGAGGCAGCACTGGAATATAGTCTGATGGGTATATGGATGGGCAAGAGGAGAAATGGGCATATGTCAGTCCAACACCTCCATAGTCTCTGCACTGGCCTGGGAGAAAGGGGAGTTCAGGAAAGCATGACTGTCCCTGAGAGACAGCACGGACTGAGGCATCAAGCCACCCGAGTTCCTGGGCACAGACATTCGGGAACATGCACTAGCTTCTCCCTAGGTACGACATGCAGGCTGGGGAGGTTTGGGACTGGCGTGGAGCCCATCTTTCCCTGCTGACCACAGCATTCACGCTGCGGGGAAAGAGGGGTACCGTCCCCCATCTCTTTGGTGGAAGCCACAGGAGCACTACCAGCATCTGGGAGTCTATCTCCAGAAAAAAAGGGGCACTGGGTTAGGAGCAGGGTGCTGTAGCTCAGAACCGGTCCACGTGATCTGCCTATTCACATACCCCCTGCATGTCTGCATGGTGCCCACACTGCAGAGCTGGGAGCCACTTCCTTTCCTAAGGCCTTGTCTGGGTGGGAACACTGTGCGGATTTAAATGGAGCAAGGCCCGCGGACGCTCTGATTGCAGTCTGAGAGACGTGTGTTTTGGTTTCGCTTTCACCAATTCCTAATCAGCATAGGCTAAACCGAAAAATAACCGGGTCTGAACCCCGGGGCGTCTGCCCTGCAGTCTGAGGAGTGACTGTGGCTCAGGCAGACTTACCTGCACTAGCTTCGCCCACACTGGCATGGCTGACACGAGCGGTGTCGACACCGCAGCGGGGTCCAGCGCAAGCTAGCCGGGCAAACCTCGGTCCCTGGTGCACTCGTGACACCCGTGTCACCACATCACACTGCTCTTCGTAGTTGCTCTAACGCGGGTAAAACTAGCACAGGTATGGCATTGCAATGGGACGTGCTCTAAGAACCCGCACAGGTCTGGGCACTGCTTTACCCACACTGGGTTAGACTAAGTTAAACCTTTGCACTTGCCCATGTAGACAACACGTCCACTTCACTGTCCCCTGTGTACAGACAGAGTTCAAAATGATAACTCTCCCCACGCCCTGCCCCACGTGCCCCCAGGACAGCTATCACCAAGATGCCACACTCTGGAAGGAAATGTCAAGAGAGACATAACAGCAGCTTGTTCTGTGCTCCGGGCTGGTCCTGGCTTTCAGACATTCGCTCGCATTAGTACCAATGGGAATTTCCCCCCACAGCACCCCCTCAGAACCCAGCTCCCACCAGTGCGGTAGTCAGCGAGAAGAGAAGGAAAGGCTCCCTTACAAAGAACTGCCCATGCCCCGGCGGCTGGTAGACCCCGTTGAACCCGCAGGTCCTGTTGGCCCCACACGCTGTGAAGTTGAAGAGTTTCTGGATGGCACTCCTGCACTCCGCTGGGGCCCCTGTCCCCCGCACCGTGAGGATCTGGCTGGGGTCATGTGCAACTGGTGCCAGGACGCAGGGACTGTCATACAGGGCAGCGGCAGTGACGTTCTCCTCGTATCCCTTAGGGTAGCACGGGTGGGAGATCTGCTGAGAGGTGAGGTTCTCCTAGAGAGAGGGGAACCCATTAGCAGCGCTCAGGCTTGGGATAGCAGCCAAACCCCCATCCCCGCCACTTCACACACACACACACACGCCAGCCCTAGCAGTCTGGAACGTCCCACAGTGAAGAAAGCAGAGGGCAGCCCCAAGATGCTGCCCGTCCCTATGCACACTGGATTTTCTCCTGAATCCTGCGAAGGAGCCTGCTAATCTCTCAGGGGGGAACATTCCCTTCCACTCTGGGCCCATTCAGAGCTGTGATCTCCTTTCCCTCAAGAGCAGCTACCCAGCTGCAGGAATTAAACTGTTGGATGGGGAGGGGAAAAACATCAAGAAGGGTCTGACTAGCCCCACCTGCTCTGCTCCTGCAGGCTGACAGCCCCTGTGTACACTCAGCAGAACAAGGGCTGGATTGGGACCAACCCCTCAGCACCAGTGCTCTGCATTCCTCCCGTTATGCACCCACTGGCTCACAGTCCTGCACCCCACCAGCCTCACTCCTTCGGGAGACATTCATTCCCAGGTAACAAAAGATCAAGACAGGATTCATATTATACTCTATGGGCAACCACTTAGATTCAGGACCATCCAGAGCCTTCTCAACAGAGATCCTAAGGCAGTGAGGGTGCAAGTTTTGCCATGGATCCTCCTGTGGTTTGCATGTGGCAGATGAATGGACAATCTCACGCCGGGTTTCTCATTCCTGTCAGGTCACCTTGTGCTAGATCAGCTTGTTTTAAAGGGGAGAACACAGGTGGATAAGAGCCAAAAGCCAAGGGCGGGCACTGATTCGTCTTTACAGAAACACTGCACGCTCGGACACTTTGCCCAGCATTTCCCATTGTTTCCCGCAATTTGTACCAGGAACTGGAGCCAGCAAGCCAGGGGACAGCTTGTGGGCTGGCTTCCCCATCAACAGCAGAATTTCAGCGTCAGCTCAGCGGGCCACGTCTCACACAGATTCTGCCACCCCTTCCCGAAAGCGAGAGCTCGTTGGCAGCCTCTCCCTGTTTAGGTTGCTAACCCTGTCCCTGCAGGAATCTCCTGCCTGACCTTTTGCCTGCCTAGTGCCAAGAGCCCCTACTTGGTCCCTCCTTGACACCACTGTCTGTCCCAGCTGAGCAGGCTCCCTCTTCTAGAAAACGTTGCCTCCAAGCTGTCACGTGAGCTGAGGTCAGCTGTCTCAGGCGCAGAGCCAATGCCTTGACAGAGGGCCCTGGGTCGCATGCATGTGCCCCAGCACCAGTGCCCTGTTACAGAACCCGCTGATAGACTGGAAGGGCATCTAGTCTCCCTGCGACTCGCCCCGGCATAGGGCCATGCAGAGCCTGCTATGCTGCTGGTATTCCCGGAGCTGGGTAAAGCTCTGTGCTGTACACACACCCCTGCCTACAGCCAGGGGAGTTAAGTGCCAAGAGAACTCAAGCTCTGATCCCACCCAGGCCACAGACTCCTCCTGGAGCGTAGGACGAGCCTCTTACGGCAGCTACTCGCACATAGCCACTATGTTTGGTGCCCAACCGCAGACACCTCAAGCCAGCTTTTCAGAGGTGCTTGGCAAGCCCAGTTCTAGTCAATGGGAGCTGCAGGTGCCACTTGGCTCTGAAAACCAGGCCAGAGGCACCTCCGGTGGGTACCCCACATCCGAGGTAATATTTTAGGGTGTTGCCCTCTCTCTGCCTGTTTCCCTCCCGCAGCACAGGGTTAACACCCTCCGCAGCACAGGGTTAACACCTCCCGCACGGGGAGCAAAGGGGTAAGTAGTTGACGGATGTGGGTCTCATTAGATGAAGTGCCAAGTTATTACTAGCTTTGCCTTTTGCTGCACTGTACAGCCAAAGGTGCAGTAGCTCCACAGGGCCAAGTGCACATCCCTGTACACGTGTGCTACCAAACGCAGTGAGCCCCAGGCCTGGGGAAGAGGGAATGAGCAGGTTAAGGAGAATACCGCTCTGAGGGACGCAATCAACTTCTTCAAGGCTTGGTTTTCTCCATAGCAGAGGTAGCTGTGAGTATAAAGCGAGTAGCTGCTCCCGTACAGCCAGAAGAGGACTTCGGTGCTGTTGTCCTCAATGGCATGACCAGGGTGAAAGGTTATCTGAGTCGAGGCTCCTCCAAGGTCCAGTGCTCCCACAACCGCAGCTGCCTCAGGGTGTATCCACGTCCCTGTGAAGGAGAACTGCCCCGCCACAAGGAATCAGTTCACCACTGGTGCCTGGAGCTAAGAACAGCGTCACTGGGGGGCCAGGGGATAGAGTGCCCATCTCCATAGGAAAGCAGGCTGAGCGAGGAAGCATGTCTGTTAATCAGTGTCCATGACTCCTGCACTGAGATGTGGGGCCTAGGAGATCAGCTGCCTCTCAAGGGGTGTCTTTTCCTCCGCTTTCTAGATATCGGTCTCATCCAAAAGCTGAGGCCTGGCATGGGTCAGGGTCTCCCCGAATCCCTCCCGCCATGGACGTGCTGCTGCCTGAAGCTGAAACAGGGAGACACCAGCACCTTCCTAGGTAAAGAAACACCAGCTCCTCTTGTGAGCGGTTTGGTTCTATGTCAGGGGTGTCAGGGACTCAAAATCCAGCTTCCAGAGCCCTGGATTCCCATGTGGTGTGGAAATTCCCAGCTGGAGCCAAGCTGGGACAAGCCAGAGAAGGGAGCACGTCTGGGATATGAGCTGGGCTGAGAAGACCTGCCATTCTGGCTCCTCATCTGACCCGTTTTCCCTAGAGAAGGAGCAGCCCAGCCAGCTAAGGTCACTCCCCAGCCCTCCACCCTCTGCCCAGGCACTGACCTTGATGAGTGTCTCCAGCAGGTAGTTGATTGTGATCCAGCCAAAGGATCCTTCCTCATTCCCAGTGAGGATCCGAGCACCACGGAAATCTACAGGGTACTGCTGGATGGTCTTGGAGACCTCTGCAAAGACCAGGTCGGCTTTTGTGCTGTTCTGCTCCCTGAAAATGGGGAGGGGAAGAGATTCCACTGGGCTCCTGATGGATACGATGCGGCATGCACAGGGACTGCCTAATCTAATCCCTTCCCAGAGGGGTAACAAACCTAAACATGAGCACCTTCCCTGGAGGTGCCTAAGTGGGTGAGAAAAGGGCCCTCTGCTCCTGACACTCCATCAAGTCAGTCAGTAACAGAACAGGAATGAAGTTAATGCTTAATTACAAGTTTCTGGTACTTACACAAAAATTTCAACTGCATCTCCTCACACTGCCACGGCACCCTGATGTTAAGAGCCTTACCTAGACTGACTTGTCCTGCAGGAGCCCCCCTGGGAGTTTAGCAATGCACACGCTCACCACTGACATGCAGCCTACTCTGGAGTGGAGGGAAGGCAGTAGGTGGACAAGCTGCACGAGTGTGACAGAGGCATATGGAAAATGTTACCACGTGTGCAGAGCATGGATTTGAAGTCTGTCCCCAAAGACTCCCCCCAGCGAACGGCAGGTGACTGAAATGGTTAACCTGGGAGGGGGAAGGGCCAGGTCAGCCCTGCAGGATTTGAGCGTATGGTGAACCAGAGGCTTCACCACCAAGCCATGGCTGCCTCATCATTTCAGCTCCGCAAGAGGCCAGTGCTGCGGTCACAAGAGAACAGGCCTCTGTGTGGTGGAGAACCGGCTTTTCCCTGTGCGGAGCTGCCCTCCTCACAGTCAATCCTGGTACCTCAGCAGCCGCATGCCTGCAGTAGCACCGAGGTAGGTGGGCGTTTCTCTCTGTTGCTCCACAGGGATGATCGTCATGGCCTTGTCCAGACAGGCCCTCAGGCTGGCTCCAGCCTGAGTGGGGTTGTCAGCATAACTGGAGATCCCAGGTCCTGGAACGAAGCATCCCAGTGTGAACCTGAGCTCAGCCGGGCCCCTGAGACAGGGACTGGCAACGCTGCTGGCACCTGGGGCTGGAGAACCCAGAGTGAGGGTCAGTTGTTTGCTGGCGTCAGCATGCAGGGAAGAGGAGCTGGTAAACAACTGCTATTGCTCGGCCCTAATGCAGGGCAACCACCAGAGCCATAGACCTGCTGCTGGCTCCCTGGGAGCGGTTCAGTCTTAAATGGACCATGTCAGATTACTTAAATATTAACTCACTAGAACGCACTAGGCCCAGCTGCAGGGATGCCCTATGGTTCAGCATGGTCATTCTGAGCCAGAACCATGGCGCTGGTGATCTGCAGCTGGGATGGGATGTTCCATGCACCATCTGCTCATGACACCTGCCTTTGCGCTCAGCTGTTGGGCAATGTCAGAATCCGGATCATATGTGGCCAGGTTTAGTTCTAGTGGCGGGCGGTTAATAAATCCCTTCACTGCAGCACAGAGAAAGATGCAAGTCTCCCAGAAGTTCACACTTCTCTTGGGACTACGCCTGACATTTGGAAGTCATCTCCAGGGTGAAAAGCATACCCAGAGACATTCCCAGGCTGCAGATACAGTCCCAATGCCAAGCAGCTAGAGCAGCACCAGGCGCCAGTGCCCCACACCAGTGATTCCCTGTAGCGCAGTTCTGGCCTTCCCTTGGAATTCCCTCCTCCCAGCTGCAGGCCTTGCCCAAGGCAAAGACACCTGCCACGGGCCATGCAGTTTGGAGGCTTCACCGTTATCCATCCATGAATGGGCAATCCCTTTCTGCCTCCTTTGAGCACTTGCATCCCCCCTGTCCCCCGCCCCCACCTGCAAGCTGCATCCTCTCTGCACTGACAGACCCACAGCCCTCAAGGCTGGGCTGTGCAGCTGGATTCTGCTGTTTGGGATCTGGCTTGGAGGGGCAGGGTGAAAGGACAGTGGAGAAGGAAGCTCCCAAGTACGCCCAAGCCTGCTAGAAGTGATACGGCTGGAGCCTTGCCCAGGGCCTCTGGTCACCTAGGGCCTGCTGTTGTCCATCCTCTTTCCCAGCTTTCTCCCCCTTGCTCGTGCTGTCTCGCTCACGCAGCAGCTGCTGGGGAAATCGCTCCCAAGGACGAGGCTGCAGAGCCAGCCTTATGGAGCATGGATGGTGTTTCACAGGCACAAACCCCAGTCACATCCCAAAGCCAGATCCTGGCCCACACCAAGGTCCCAGAGCAGCATGTTCCCAACCTTCTGTCCCGACCCGGGGGAGTTCATGGTCCCAGGAAGGAGCAGACCAGGCTGGGTAACAGAAAACCAACCCAAATCTCACGCTGACCCACAGAGACTATAAAGATTCCTCCTGTCCCAGGTATTTGTCATGGTCTTCCATGCCTCTGTGTGTCCTGGCTGTGAGCAGGACTTGGGGGAGGTACCAGAGCAGGGGTGTCATTTCAGAAAAATTCAATCTTGTCAGCCCAGAGAACATTATCTGTATATCCTGCAGCCTCAGGGTGTGCAGGAAGTGGAGCATACAGACCTAGGAAAAGCCTGTGGAGGCCAACCAAGGTCAGGGGGGGAACTGCCCTCCTTGCCCCATAGCAAATGACACTCCTGCAGTAGACCACTGTGGGAGAGGTTGCTCCTGCCTGTCAGCTGGGCCATAGGACACCCATGCGTCTGGTGTCTGCCCATCACCACGACACAGAACTTGAATGTAGGCAAAGATCGGGGTGTCCACGCCTGGGGATGTCTCATTCCCCCAGGCTCACTGCATTTTACAGTACAGCTGGGTGTCACCCCTGCTTTCCGGATAGCAGTCTAGGGACAGGGGAGGGTCACACTCACTTCTCCCATTTTGGATTTGCAGGTCTTTCCATGGCACAGAGATGTGGTGAACAGTTCAGCCTCCACCTTTGCTCCCCAGGGCCCACTGCACTATATTGCAGGTAGCTAAAGAAGCAAAGTCCACCTATAATAAATGCGCTTGTCCCGCACCTATAGTGTCAGTGGCCAAACTCACACCTGGTGCAACTCCACTGACTTCTGTGGAATCCCACCAGGGATGAATGGGGCCCAGTTGCTCTCCCTGAAGCATAGAGATCCAGGCAGAAGGAGGTGGTGTTAGGCATGAGGGCTAATCTAAGAGCATGGCAGTAAATAGCACAGCAACCTTTGCCCCTGACAGAAGCATTTCACACACATTTCTCGGCACACGGACACAGCCAAGGGGAGGGCATAAGGGTGAGAGAGAGAAACGTTTGACTGACCTTGCACGGTGCAGGCTTCAGCCTGGCTGACAATGCCAGTGCCGTTCTCCTTATCCGCTGGCCACTGGTAGATGTAGAGAGCCGTGTGCGAGGAGCCGGCGTCAAACACCATCCCATACTGAAGGGGGAACCGGGAGGGAAGATGACATCACAGAGCGCTCACTGCTGCACAAGGGCTGCTGTATGTGTTCTCAGCTCTTGCGTATAAAGAATTGCACTTTCAGGCTTGACCTTCCAGCCCAGCTTTAACCAGGCCTTTGTTTCTATCCCTTGGGTTTTGCAGTTAGATAAAGTTAGAGGTGGAAAGGGAAGTGAGGTGTGAAACAGCAAGCCTCACACCCCTGTAGTGACATTCACAGAGCTCTCATGATTTGGAGACACACGTGGAATAGCTCAAGCCTGGGGCCTGTTCACGGCTATTGGAGGCTGGGAAATCAGGAAGTGGTCGTTTTGCAACAGTCTTAGAAAAGCAAGAATGAAAGAGACAACAGGGAAGGAACATGAAACTCTGGGAAGAAGGACAGAGGAGAGGAAACATACAAGATGCTCATAAGATCTGAAAAGAGAAAGTAGAAATAAAGGTCAAGAGAAACTAGTTTAGTTACACAGCAGAACCACTAACAAACAGAATGACACACAGCAGGTCTGCGGGCATGGAAAAGGTGTGACATTATTTCTAACAGGCTATCAAACCCACACAGCTAGCTAGTCTTTGTATGAGTCATTGAAGGCAAGGTACTCTAGCAACTGCACCTACCTTGGTTCTTGCAGGCAGATAAGCATCCTTCACTTGAACAAGGATGAGGATGAGGGTAGTTATTCCTGAAGCTGCAGCCACTGCAAGAAGACACCTGATATCCCGCCCTAACAGGTGCTTTAACATTGCTGCGCCAATCTGTGAGCAAAGCAGAAGCTGTGTCAAGACAAACACACCCCATCTTCCTGCTTTCCAGCCAGTTCCTGGGTTTACTCTTAGAGAAAGTTCAGTACAAGGGTGGTGGGTGGCTAACGTGTTCCATTGAGCCTGTCACTGCTGCAGTGAGTCTGTTTCCAGCCTCACAAGCATACATTATTTGAGCAATTGTACGTCCAGATGGTACAGCAAACGAGATGACCCTGGTGGTGGGTTTGGTGCAGGGAGGAGCAGAGGAGGCTCAGAGAGGAAAAAGCTCCCATAAGACCAAATAATAACGTAATATGCAGGCCAGGCCCAGCCCAGCGAGGCTGAACTGCTGGTGATGGCTACTTCTGCTCCATGCCACACCATGCAGAGCACAGTTCAAGTTGCCGTAGGCCCTTGGCATAACTACTTGAGCAGAACAGCCAATCACAATGCTACCCCCATTGTCCAACTCCATCATCTCTGACCCATGGCTGGTTCTGCTCTCCTAGTTAGCAGACAGTCTCATCCAGACTGTAACCCAAAGTCAAAGTGCAAGATCCTGCACCATTTCTAGATTCATTTTCCATTCCTTGCCCCTCCACACATTCGCCTCCCCTTTCTAGACTAGCAGAGCTGTTTGGGTCGGTGGGAGACAGGGCACACACTTCGGATCTAGGGCTATGGGATGGGGAAGGGTTTGATTTTTGTGTAAAATATATTTAATACAGAAAAATAAAGAGGCTTGGGAGTGTAATGACATGCATGCAAAGAAAGCATTTTACATCATTCATACCTTAAGACACATACAAGCAGTGCGGAGAGAAGGACCCTCATTTTACAAATGGATTCAGAGGCTAAACATTCCAGGCCTCAGAGGGAATAGGTGAACCTGGGAGTTCCTGGCGCTTAGTTCTGTGCTCACGTCAAAGGGTTTTCACATTAAGGGATGCCAGGTGTTGCTTGGGTGGGTGAGACCAGCAAGCTCAGCTATGCCGTATGGCACTGTGTCAAGCCAATTATTCGTTGTGAATAAGTCAGTGTACAGGTTACTCCTGGGGAAATTCTGCGCTACTGTAGCGCAGCAGAAAAATCCCCCCACCCCCAGCAGAATCCCTTTGCTTCGTTGCAGAAAATGGTTTCTGTGGGAAAGCAAAGAGAAGCTGCACCAGTGCTCAGTCACCCCTCCAGGCAGCTCTGCAGCTCACATGCAGCTGTTCAGGCAGCCAGGGGGAGACGTAAATCACTGGCAGGAGGAGGGTCTGGGGATGCCCCAGCTACCCAGGGACCAGGGGGTTGGGGGGAGGAGGAGAGGATGGAGACAGAGTTCCCCCCTCCCACTTCCCTGCACGGAGCAGATGGGGCTGGGTCAGATCAAGCCCCAGAACTTCCCCAGGAAGCTCTGCACCATGGGGGCAGGAAACAAAACCAACCTGGCCACATAATATGGCAGCTCCAGATGTTGGCACCCCAGGGCAACCTCCCTGGTCCCCCACCGCAAGGCCAGGCCTTACTGGGAATGGCAGCTCTCAGTGACGTTTGTCTGAGCCTGGTCCGGGTGTGAAGCATGTTTGGCATGTCCAAATCCACCTACCAAAACTGACCCCCCCCTCCCCCAGCGGGCAGCCAGAGGCAGGGCAGGCACGGGCAGCGATTCTCCACATGCTCCTTTCCCTCCCCCATCCTGCTCGCCTCCCCAGGAGGAAATGAGATGCTGTGCAGGGAACCTAACGGGGAGCTGAGAAACCAGCTATAAGGGAGGCAGGCGAGAGCAGGCGAAGGGCAAGTTCTTCTCGGGATGCCTAGAGCTGGCTAACCCTGGCGTGAGCTGGGCATCGACAGGCCTTGGGGTGCCCCACGGGCTGTATTTACTGTGCTGCAACCAAAGTACAACAACCGCCCTCCTCCGCCACGCGCTCTGGACCCACACTGGCACGAGAGGAGACAGAGGCTGGACATTAGATGAGAGGCAGGAACAAGCCTGCCGACGTGGTGAGAATGCGGCACCGTACGGATATGCTGCAGGAAACAGGCAGTCGCTTCCCCCAGTCCACATTACATCGTTTTTCTTCTCTCCATAACCCGAGCAAAGCCCAGGAAAGGTAACGCCTCAGCTTGCTAATGACGCCCCCCCGTGACAGTGCAGGGAGTGCAGAGGGGAGCCTGCTCTCTGGTCACTGAGAGGCAAATTAGTGCACCAGAAGAAACTGACTGGGGTAATGATCCAGCCAGGCTGCTGGGCTGGGAGGGTAAGAACGCAACTGGCCCCATCAGCCCTCGGCTGATAGAAGAGGCCCAGGAAGGAAGGACGTGCGGGGGAGAGAAGGAGGAACAGGGCTAAGCCTCCCGATGCAGAGGCCTCGGTAGGGAGATCTCTGTTCCCGTCGCATCCTGCTGAGAGGGCCTAAAGCTCTGCCGAGTGTAAACAGGCAGGAGCCTGGCGGACTGTGGTGATATTGGTGAAGGGGAATTGAAATAAAGTTTCACTGAGCACACACCTGGTGGAGTCCATGTGGTTTCTGCAGGGAAGAGGATGGGGCAGATACAGGTCCCTGTCAGACCCCCAAAACCTCTAAAATGGTGAATTATAGGAACAGCCCTGGACTGGCCCCAGGGAGATAGATGAGATGATCTAACAGAGATCCAGGCTTGAATTTTAAATTTAATATAGGCTAGGTTAAAAGGTGGCAAATTCAAAACAGGTAGAAGTAAATATTATTTCACACAGTGTACAGCTATACTGTGGAACTCCCTGCCACAAGAGGTCAACAAGGCCCGTTTCCTCAGATTGTAAGCTCCCTGGGGCGGAGGCTGCCTCCTTGTACAGTACCTGGCACACTGGGGGTCCTCCTAGGTCCTACCACAATACACACAACAACAACAAGGCAAGATGCAACAGGGGATTGGGCATTAACGTGGATAACAAAATCTTCACCTTCCCAGAGGGACGGCTGACAACACTCTGGCAGGGATAGTTCAGCGTCTGCCTCCAGCTCTGAGCCAGTGCCCTGGAGACTAATGTGGGGGCGATTATCCCACGGCAGGGTCCCTGCCCCCCTCGGGAGCCGCGGGGGCTGTGACTGTGTAGCCAGGACACCAGACGAGATGGCCCCCGGGGCGGCTCCGGTCCGGCACTTCCGTGAGCTTTTCAGAGGAGCCGGAGGGAGCCACGTGCCCAACCCTCGCTGCATTTCAGTGAACTTCCCCGGGCTCCTCCAGCCCCGCTGCATCCCGCTGGGAGCTGGGGCCCGGGGCCCAGGAACGACTCACCCCGCCCCGCGCAGCGACCCGGCACCAGAGGAGACGCCGCGCAGCCGGGGTCACTGGGTCCCCGCCGCGCCGGATTCCCGGACGGCGGCCGCCCGCCGCGGAGCTACCGCCCGGCCGCCCTCCCGCGCAGGCGGCCCGCCGCGCCGACCCGCTTCGCTCTCATGCCCCGGGGCGAGCGCTGCCCGCGACCCGCTCGGCGGCTTCTGGCTCCGCAGAAGCAAAACGAAAGCAAAAGCCGCCGCCAAGACCCGCCCCGCCGGGCTTCCAGCCTCCCGCCCGGCCCGGGCTCTTGCCGCGGGCTCTGAGACTCGGCGCCAGGGGGTTTCTTGGCGCTGCCAAGTTCTCTGCTGTTTCCCCTTCCCACTCTTTCTTCACCATTGCCCCACTGTAGAGGCCCTCTCAATGCCAAAGAGAGGCGAGGTCTGGGCTCAATGGGGACAAATTGTCCCCGGGACAGAGGCGGAGACATTCCTGCTGCCGGCGCCCCGGCCGTGTCCACACTGGAAAGCTGGGCCAGGCTCGCTGGCGGCACAGCTGTCAAACCTGCTCCCGCAGGTGCCGCTTACGGGGCACCACGGTCTTGTTGCCGGCGCAGCTGATTTCATTGGGCGCCGGGGCTGGGCTGTACCAGCAAAAGGGCTTTTTGGTGGCCCAGCTGTGGCTTTTGCTGGCAGACCTACACTGGCAAAATCATCCTCATCCTCACAGCCCTGGCCAACACAGCTATGCCAGCAAAAGACTAGGCCTGACCTGAGCCACAGCCCTTCCTGAGGGGGGAACAGTAACCTGCCAAAGGCAGAGTCAGACAAGACTTTTGTCAAATCCAGCTAAAACCGCAGCAGGGCGAGAGGCAGCGGCCAGAGGTGTGTGATACTGGGAACATCCCTTCCCTTCTCCAGACCTATGTTTGCCTTCCCATCGTGGGTCTGTCTTGTCTACCCAGGGCAGGGACCGTTTCTTACATACAGGCAAAGGCCTTAATGCCAAGCGTGGCTTTTCCAATTCGAGCAACATTTTTATTGGAAATTTTTCTGTTTTTCTAAAATTTTTTAGTTTTCATCAAAATTAAACAATTTTTTTTAAAAATTGAATTTTAACAATTTCAGTTTCCTGGATTTCCCTTCTCCTCACCCCTCTTCACCCCAGGGAAAAAAGGAGGGGGGAGGTTACTCCTGGGGGAATTCTGTGCCCTCTGGGGAGCGCAGAATTCAGATCTTCTGCAGATTTATTGGCTCCCCTGCAGAAAAATAGGGGAGCAAATCTGTGGGGAACACACGTCTCTTCCACGGCAGCCCGGGTGCATCTGCTGGGAGCAGCTGGCAGCAGAGACTGCAGATCACCTTGGAGCGGGCAGGGGGAGGGAGTCTAGGCGTGTGCGAGTGGGTCTGTGGAGAGAGGATAAAGGGCTGGGGCTGGGCACCTGCCTGTGTGCAAATGAGTGAGAAAGACGCACCTGTCTCTCTCCTCACTGTTGCTGCATCCCAGGCTTGGAGGCCTAGGGCAGTGTGAAGCAGGCTCTGTCCCTGAGGCAAAGCAGAAATGTAACAACTGAACAGGCAGGCTGCTAAGGTTCCCATTGTTAGTTAATTGTTCCCATTCTTAGTGAATTAAGGCTCCTTACCTTGCCAGAATGGTGTAAAGGAGCATTATTGTAAATGACCGTAACAGAATCCTCAGCTAGGAAGGTCTATGGCCCTGTCTACACTGGGAAGTTTCTGGGCAGTAAAGCAGCGTTCTGCTCTGTAACTCCCGAGGGGAGCACGTGGCCAAGCCACTGAGTGCACAGAAACTGCGCAATTGTCGCGCTGTAAAAAACCCACCCCGACGAGCGGCGTCCAGCTTCCTGCGCCCGGGGTACGGTGCTGCAGGGCCAGTGTAGACACCCTGGTCGATGACAGCGCTGCGATTGGCCTCTGGGAGGTGCCCCACAATGCCTGTTCTCGCCTCTCTGGTCATCGGTTTGAACTCCACTGCCCTGTCCTCAGGTGACCAACCATCAGGTCCACCCTGGACTTTCCTTGGGAATTTTGAAAGTCCCCGTCCTGTCTGCTCGGTGACGCGTGCAGTGGTCTCAGCGCATCTTCCAGGTGGCCAGGCCTGCTCCATGCACCAGGCGAACCCCCGCTTGGAGCAATGCCGAGCTGCTGGACCTCATCAGCATTTGGGGAGAGGAGGCTGTCCAGTCCCAGCTGCGCTCCAGCCGTAGGAATTAGGAGACTTACGGACAGACTTCACGATGCATGACAGGAAGGGGCCATGACCGGGACACACTGCAGCACAGGGTCAAAGTGAAGGAGCTGCGGAACGCCTACCACAAGGCGCGGGAGGCAAACCATCGCTCCGGAGCTGCGCCCACGCGGAGCTGCCGGCTCTACAAAGAGCTGGATGTGATACCTGGCGGCGACCGCAACTTCACTGCAAAGGTCACTGTGGATACTTCAGTGGTTCATGTGCCAGTTGGTAGTGGACCAAGCCAGGAGGAGGAAATCTTGGATGAGGATGTGGAGTGGGAGGGGGACCCAGAGGCAGAGGACTACTTGGAGGTCAGAGATGCATGCAGCCAGGAACGTTTTTCTATCCCGAAGGAGGTTAGCCAGTCACAGCTGTCAGAGCCTGGCAAAGTGCAAAAAGGAGAGGAGGGACCTGATAAGTGGATCTGATTTTGGGAATTGCTGAAGTGAGTTGAAGCAGGAGGGCAGAAGGGTTGCAGAAAGCAGGCTTGTCTCCCACCGCATGCCTCACTTTACGGGAATCTCCCTCAGAGATCTCCAGGAAACTCTTGCGGAGATACTGGGCAATCTGCTGCCGCATTTTCTTCAGCAGAGCTGTTTTGTTTCTTGCCCCATTAACGGTAATTTTCCCGTGCCACTGTGCACACAGGCTAGCCACATAGGGGCCAGGGCAAAAGCCACCAGGCTTGTAGAAGACCCTCCCTTGAGTCCCTGCTTACCCCAGGAGTGAGATATCTTCCATAATGATCACATCCTGTGGAAAATGGGGACAGGAATGATTATTCCCCCCCCCCCCCCGCTTCTTGCTGGCTTGCTGGCTTGCTGGCTTTCCCCAAGAGCCACGTGCCCGGTGTATAGCAGGGTCCGGGAAGAGTGATTTACCCTCCCCTGTGACTACTCACCATTTTGCGGGTCTTGTGGCTTATGTGTGCTTGCCTGGGGTCAGCCAGTTAGTGACAGATGTGCGAGTACCGGCTGTGTTTTAAAGCACTGAATCAGTGTTGTCTGTCTTGCAAACAATACTGCTTCTGTAAAATGTTGTGTTTAAACTTCACAGAGATGACCTTGGGAGCCCTCTTTGTTATCGGCAGCTGAACAGCTGCACAGAATTAGAAAGAAGCCAAGAAGAACTAAGGAGGACTTTCTGCGTGACGTTATGATGCACTCCGCTGCCGAGAAGCAGGAAATGAAGGAGTGGCGGGACAGCGAGAAGAGGGACCGAAAGGAGAACGTGGCATGCCGGAATGAAGCCACAGAGCAGCTCTTAAAGGTTATGGAGCGCCAAGCAGAGACGCTTCAGACAATACTAGCTCTTCAAACTGAGCAGCTCCACACCCACCCTCCTCTGCAGCCGCTGTCGCAAAACTCTTTTCCATGCTCCCCCGAGACACCGCCAACACGTCCTTATCAACCGCCTGGCTCCAGTCTGTACCCGCTGCATTCCGCTCCTGCCCCATCACAGTCCAACCCTGCAGACTCCCACTGCACTGAACACCCATCCTCTGCAGTTTGGCCCTACTGAAGTACAGTACCTGCTGCATTGTACTCCAAAGGAGAAGGTTGGATCTGATCCCTGGACTTACACAAATCTTTAGTCATCCTGGGACCCCTCCTCCTCCTGGGACCTTCCCTTCCCCATCCCCTCACTGCTGATGGTTTTTTGGTTTGACTCTTTCCTCCGGTTCTTGTCTTTTAATAAAAGAATTGTGTTGGTTTGAAAACGATCTTTATTCTATTAATTGGAAGCAAACAGAGCCCTCAAAGCAACAGACAATTATGTTAAACCCACATATTGCATCATCTGCACCAATCACCTGCCAGCATTACAAGCACTGCACTCCTGAGCATAGCAACAAATATTAGTGGCTTTCAGCTTCAAATTGCTGCCTCAAGGCAATCCTGATCCTTATGGCCCTGCACTGTATCCCTCTAATAGCCCTGGTCTCCGGCGGTTCAAACTCAGCCTCCAGGTGCTGAGTCTCTGTGGTCCAGCCCTAAGTGAAGCTTTCACCCTTCCCTTCACAAATATTATGGCGCGTACAGCACACGGCTATAAGCGTAGGAATATTGTCATCAGCCAGGTACAGCTTCCCATAGAGGCATCACCAGCGGGCTTTTAAATGGCCAAAAGCACACTCCACAGTCATTCTGCACTTGTTCAGCCTGTTGTTGAACCACTCCCTATTGCTGTCAAGTTGCCCCGTGTATGGCTTCATAAGCCACGGCATTAAGGGGCAGGCAGGATCTCCCAGGATCACAATGGGAATTTCGACTTCCCCTACAGTGATCTTCTGGTCCGGGAAGAAAGTCCCTGCTTGCGGCTTCATGAACATGCCAGTACTCCAAAAGATGCGTGCGTCATGCATCTTTCCAGACCAGCCTGCGTTAATGTCCGTGAAACACCCCCGGTGATCCACAAGCGCCTGGAGAACCATTGAGAAATACCCCTTGCGATTAATGTACTCGATGGTTAGGTGGTCTGGTACCAGAATTGGAATATGCATGCCATCTATTGCCCCTCCACAGTTAGGGAAATCCATTTGTTCAAAGCCATCAACAATGTCACCCAGGTTGCCCAGAATCATGGTCTTTTGGAGCAGGATGTGATAAATGGCCCTGCACACTTCCATCAACACAAGTCCAACGGTCAACTTTCCCACTCTGAACTGGTTAGCGACTGATCGGTAGCAGTCTGGGGTAGCCAGCTTCCACAGTGCAATGGCCATGCGCTTCTCCA